GACAGCGACGAAGGCGCGGCCGGCGCGGGCGCCGGCGCTGATCGCGCCGACGACGACGACGGCGCCGTCGCGTCGGCGACGAAGGTTCTGGAAAGAACTCGACATGCGCCCGCGGCCGACGCGCGAGAGTGGCCCGCGTCGCTTTATTTGGCGCGGATCGCGGGCCCCCATCCGCCCCCCCACCCCCCGGCGCGCGCGCAGGGGCTTGCGCGCGATGTCGGCGTGCGACGCCAGAGGCCCGTTTGGCGGAATTCCATGGCAACGTTGAAACGCCGATGGGTTCCCCTGCGGAATCGCAAGAGCGCGAGCGCACGCTTTCTTTTGCAATCTGAGGTTGCGAAACCATGTGTCTTGGCATGTTTTTGGACGCTCGATTATTTTGCGACACCAGAGGTTGTTGAAGGATTTCGGCATGCGCGCGCGACGACGCGCGCGTGCACTTCGTCCTATTTGTCAAGAAGGGTTCTCGCGACGGCACGCGCGAAAGGGCGCGAGGAAGATTTCGACGCGCGCGCGCGAAGCCCATGTGGTATGTGGCGGCAGTTTCTGAACAGGTTGAAACAAACAGCGATTTTCTTAGACTTTGCAAGAGCGCGCGCGCAAGCTTAGCTTTAAAATCCGCGCTGCGAAGCCCGATGCTTTTATTAGTGTTTTGGACACTCGATTGCGAAGCACTTACGCCACCGAAGGTTCTTCGAGGATTTCGGCTTGCGCGCGCGACGACGCGCGCGCACTTCGTTTCGCGTTTGCAAGGGATTTATCTGAAATCTATGATTTGTGATAAACGAGTGCGCGCGCGTAGTTTTTTCTTGCAGAGGATGGCGGGGGGTACCGACATCGGCCCCGCCTTGGTCGATGTGTCATTTTAATATGCAAATTGCAAGACGGAAGCGGGATGGGATAATCCTGGGGGAGGGGGTTATTCTTGTTCCTTTTGCAAAGGCGGAGATTTTATTTAGCAGAGGAGTTGGCACATACCATTGCCTTGCAAACATCCCACCCGCCCACCCGCAACTTGGTTTGCAGAACCCACGCGGTGGCGATTGCGATGAGTGCGTGGCGCTGGCTGGTACATCTGCGGCCGCGCTGGCCCGCGCAAGCTCGCGCGCGCAGCGGCCAGCTTGTTTGGCGCCGCCGACGCGGCCGCGGCGGCGCTGACCGTTGGGCGCGTCCCAGCGGGCACCTCAGTGCGAGTCGGTGACTTGGGCGGGCGCGGGTTCAGGGCGACGCCGGGAACGATCGACGCGGTTATGAGAGTAGCGATGATGTTGGCGACGGTGGCGATGCCGACGGCAAGGCCAATGACGGCGCCGTTAGCGATGGCGATGTCCTCGCGTCGGCAATGAAGGATTTCGAAGGGTCTCGGCGCGCGCGCGAGGACGACGCGCGCGAGTGGCCCGCGCGGTGCTCTTCGACGCGGGTCGTGCTTCCCAGCGCACGCGCATGGGCTTGCGAATGATTTTGACGCGCGGTGCGAGATGCCCGTTTGGCATAAGTTATTTTTTTTGCCAGCCCATGTTTTTCTTTGGAATCTGCAAAACCACGAGCGCAGGCTTCGGTGAAAACGGATGTTACACAGCCACGTGTGCGTGTGCGTGTGTGTGTGTTACAAAAATCGGGACAGTCGTTGTTGAATTCTTTGGGTTTGTTTGACAGGATTCCGGCGCGCGCGCGCGACGACGCGCTCGCGTCGCCTCATTTGTTGCAAGGGATTTGCGCGACAACACTCGCGCAAGGACGCTCGAGCGATTCCGACGAGCGCGCTCGAGAGGCCCGCTTGGTCGCACATTCTGAATATATTGAAACAACCAATGGTTTTGTTGAGAATTCTCAAGTGCGCGGGTTCAACATTGTGTTGAAAATCGTTGTTTCGAAACTATGTGTTTCAGTTGTTTCCGCGTCTCTCGGCGAAGGAGGATCCTGGCGTGCGCGCGCGACGACGCGCGCGTGCGCACTTCGTCCCATTTGTTGCAAGGGGTTCTTGAACCTTGTTATTTGTTATTAACGGAGGGGGGGTCGATACCGGCTGGGCTGGGGCGGTATGGGTCCATATGTAAAATGGACGATGTGTCATAATCATATGCAAATTACATATCGCGAGTTATTTCCGGCTTCGGGACGGGGGTGGGATCTATTACTAAGGGAATCTATGTGGTGCAAGCTGCGGGGGGGGGGGGGGGGGGGCAATTCACTTAGTGTCCGCAGTGAGTTGCCAACCCCCTTGCTTGCGCAATCTTCCCGCCCACCAGCCCGTGACTTGGTTTACAAAAGCCCATGGGGCGGCAATTGCGACGTTTGTCTGGCGTTTGCTGGCGCATCGCTGCGGCCGCGCCAGCGTGCGCAGGCTCGCGCGCAGAGCGGCCAGCTAGTCTGGCGCGACCGACGCGGCCGCGGTGGCACTGACCGCTGGGCACTCCCCAGCGCGTGTCGCACGCCGTGCTGTCGCGCAGGCGGGCGCGGTATCATGGCGGCGCCGACGACGGTGGACGCGATTCGGATAGTATCGATGACGGTGACGATGGTGATGATGACGACGGCACGGCCACTGACGGTGCCGATGTGTTTTCGTTTCGATGATGAACGTTTCGGAAAGATTTCGACATCCGCGCGCGGACGACGTGCGCGAATGGACCGCATGGTTTTTTTTGTTACAAGGATCGTGCCCCCCCCGAACGAGCGCAAGGGCGTTCGAATGATTTCGACATGATCCGAGAGGCCCGCTTGGCAACGGTCGATGAACAGGTTGGAAAGCTGGGCTATTGTTTGAACACTCGCAAAACCGCGCGAGCAGACTTTTGTCGAAAGCTGATGTTGGAAACCTACGTTTTTGATGTTTCAGGGACATTCGATGTTTCAACCCTTGCAGCGCTTCTGGTTGTTGAAAGATGTCAGCTTGCGCGCGCGACGACGCGCGAGGGCGTGCCATTCGCAGTTTTGTGTTGCAAGAAATTATTGGAAACTGATGGTTTTCGTTCGACGAGTTTGTGCGCATACTGCTTTTTGCAGTCGACCATGTGGGGGGCTCGACCCCAGCCTGGTGCAAATTGCAAATCCCAAAGGGGAAAGGGAAACCTGCTGTGGGTTGTAGATGCCAGTTTCCGCTCAGAGCAAAATATGGATGATATGCAATCTGTGTGGTGCTTCATCTACACATAAGTATATATGGACATACATATATGTTTACAGTGCAATCTATGTGGTGCGATCTACGTTGTGCTATCTAGGCGGCGACGGGGCGGCGACGGCGGCAACGTAGCCGCCAGACTGGCAGACCTTCCCAGACGATGGGCGGCGACGAAGGGGCGAAGGGGCGGCGACACCGGCAACATAGCCACCAGACCAGCAGGCACACGCAGACGACGGGCGGCGAAGATGCGGCGACGGGCGGCGACGGCGGCAACATAGCCGCCAGACCAGCAGGCAGGCGCAGACGACGGGCGGCGACGATGCGGCGACGGGCGGCGACGGCGGCAACATAGCCGCCAGACCAGCAGGCAGGCGCAAACGACGGGCGGCGACGAGGCAACGACGGGGCAGCGACGGCGGCAACATAGCCGCCAGAGTGGCACACAGGCCCAGTTTTTTAGGATAAGTATGAACCCCTACGTGCAAGCACTGTTTAGTGAAGATCGCAACGCCTTTGGCCCGTCGAAGTTGATGTTTCCACAGCGCTGGCCGTATTTCAGGATCGGTGTTTTGCTCCTGTCCTTCAGTCTGGCGTCCTTGCCCCAGCGCGGGCCACACTTCTGGAACCGGTTCCTTCCTCGGCGTTGCCTCCCCCTCCTTTCGCCTTTCCGCGTTCCCCTGATCCTCCTACTTTTGTCTCCTCTCCGCTTCCTCATCGTCTCGGGGTGTCGTTTGATGATCCCGAGCGGAACCCAAAGCCAAAACCTCCTCTTCCTCCTCTTCCTCCACCTCCATCCGCTCACTCCTCGGCCAGTCTATCGAAAAGTCCCCCTTCCCGATCGCACAGGAAACGTTGGGTCAAATCATGAAAAGGGTTCAACGCAATGGGAAGGAATATGCGGGAGGGGTAGGTCGAATGTGACATGCGGCGTGAGCACACCGACCTTGCTCCATCCACCCTCTCTCGCTCCTTGTCGTGCTCCTCGCCCCCCTTCTCCATGCTATGCGCCTCCTCCTAATTCCCTCATCGTCCTCACCTCTTCCGCCTCCTCATCCTCCTTCTTCACGTCCGCCTCCTCCTGCAGAGTGAGCCCCCCTTAATTTTTTTTTCGGTGCGGATCGTCTGCGCGCCTCGTCGTCGTCGTCGTCGTGGTCGTGGTGCATGTTGCTCTGGTCGCCACATGTTTCCCTTATGCAGAGGCCACCCATTTGGCGTGCCAAGCATTGCACGCCGCCTGGCTGTCCGTTCGTTCGTCCGTCCGTCCGTCCGTCCGTCTGTCTTCCCGGCTCTCGGAGCCGCGGTGCTTAGAGCTTCTTAGTTTTGGGATGCGTCGGCTGCCGCCACTGTCGCTGTCGCCGTCACTCGAGCCGAAGGCCCTGACGAGGGGGTGGCGGCAGCAGTGGCAGTGCCGAAACGCGCCCAGAGTCCAGCGAGACATGAGGGTGCAAACACGACTTGTCTAGCTGATGCTCTGGGAGGGGCCTGTGCTCAGGGGTGGCTACAGCACCGCTCAACGGTGTGCTGTTCAAACCGAACCTGCAGGGTGGGCCCTTTCTCTGATGCCTGCTTCGGTGCGGATCGTCTGCGCGCCTCGTCTCGGTCGTCGGCGTCGTCGTGGTAGTGGTGCGTGTTGCTTTGCTTGGGACTTGTTTCCTTTGCCCAGTGACCACCACCGCCATTCTTCCTTCCTCCCTTCCTCCGCATCTTTCTCCTTCCCTTCATCCTCCCCTCCCTCCTCCCTTTCCTCCTCATCCCCCCTCCTCCTCCTCCCCCTGCTGCTCCTCCTCTTCCCCCTCTTCCCTGTCCCGCCTCCCTCGTCCACCTTCCCCCCTCCTCCCTCCCTCTTCCTCCTCCTCCGTGCTCGCCCCGCGAGGCTCGCCAGCCGCCCCGCCCGCGTTCCCCCCGATGCCCTTCATGCCGGGCAAGGGGCTTGCGCCGCCCATGCCCCCTCCGGAGATGATGCAGATGATGATGCAGAAGGGGGGGGGCAAGGCGGAGTTCATGCAGATGATGCAGATGATGATGATGAAGGGCGGCCCCCCCAGAAAGGAGAAGAAGGCCAAGAGCTCCAGCAGCTCGTCCTCGTCCTCCAGCGGCGGCGCAGACGATGCAGACGACGGCCTCGACGGGGCCTCTGCGCTCGCGTCCCGCTCGGCCGAAGCTCGCAGCGGCCGGTGGCGGGCGCGCTCGCGGGACCGCCGATCATGATGTCCGCTCGGCCGCATCGGGGAGGAAGCGAAGGTGGGGGAAGGAGGGACGGGGTGGGCGGGCGGGGAAAGACGAAGACGAGAGGGATGGTGAGGATGGTGACGATGACGACGACGATGACGATGACGACGTCGACGACGATGATGATGATGGTGATGATGATGCTGATTCCTCTCGCTTCGCGGGGTGCACGTCCGGAGCACGTACAGTCACGTCGTCGCGGGGCCTCTTGGGCGCCTCTTGGGGGCCTCCTGGAGGCCTCCTGGGAGTTTCTTTTGGCCTCTTGGGGACTTCTTTGGGGGCTTTCCCCCCTCCCCCCTTTTCATACACCCTCCCCATCTTCCCTTCCAGCGCCGGCTCTAATCATGGGCGCCGCAGTGACCAACTTCCACCTGGCTGGCGCTGCGCCGCAGTTCACTCCAGTCGCTGTGTGGCCTTTGAGGGGCTTTTTGGGGGCCTTTTGGAGGCTTCTGGGGGACTTCTTGGAGGCCTCTTGGGGGCCTCTTGGGGCCTCTTGGGGGCGTCTTGGGCCATCTTGTGTCGCTTTTGCGCGGTTTCGCCCCTTCGGAGGCTGTCTTGGGAGCCTCTCGCGGCCACATTGGGGCCCTCTTGGGGTCCTCTTGGGCCGGCTTCGCGGCCTCTTGGACCGTCTTGGGGGCCTCTTTGGGCCGTTTTGGGGTCCTCTTGGGCCGTCTTGGGGCCCTCTTGGGGGCTTTTGGGGTTGTTTTGGGGCGATTCTGGAAGCTGCTTGGGCCGTCATAAACTTTCGAGAGTCGGAACAGGCGAGAACGCTAACATATTGCAGAAAAGCCATAGGACAATCAATGATTTCGGCCTCTGGAGGCGCAGTTGTGGGCGCTCTTAGGGGTCCTCCTGGGTCTTCCTTAGGGCTTTTGGGGCCTTCTTGGGGCCGATTTGGGGGCCTCATGGCCCCCCATTGGGAATATCTTGGGCCGTCTTGGGCCGTCTTGGGGCCATCTTGGGCCATCTTGAGGCCCCCTCTGGGGTCCCCAGAGGCCAAAGAGGCCGAATTTGTTGATTTTTCATCGGTTCTTGTAGGTTTGGGGCCCCAGAAGGAGGGCCGATCATTTTGGTCCGTTCCTGCGGCGCGGCTCCCAGGGGGGTCTATGGGGGGAGGCATAATCACGTAACACAATGCAACATGTGGCAATTAGGCAATCATTGGATACATTGGATACGTTGCATTAAGGCGTTCGCCGAAAAACGCTGCCGCTCAGCACGTCACCTCCGGACGTGGATTCCTCTCGCTTCGCGGGGTGCACGTCCGGAGCACGTACAGTCACGTCGTCGCGGGGCCTCTTGGGCGCCTCTTGGGGGCCTCCTGGAGGCCTCCTGGGAGTTTCTTTTGGCCTCTTGGGGACTTCTTTGGGGCCTTTCCCCCCTCCCTCCTCTTCATACACCCTCCCCATTTTCCCTTCCAGCGCTGGCTCTAATCATGGGCGCCGCAGTAACCAACTTCCACCTGGCTGGCGCTGCGCCGCAGTTCGCCCAGAAGGGGGGAAATATCATTACATTCCAGTCGTTGTGTCGCCTTTGGGGGGCTTTTTGGTGGCCTTTTGGAGGCTTTTCGGCGACTTTTTAGAAGTTTCTTGGGGGCCTCTTGGGGACCGTTTCGCCCCTTCGGAGGCTGTCTTGGGAGCCTCTCGCGGCCGCACTGGAGCCCTCTTGGGGTCCTCTTGGGCCCTCTTCGCGGCCTCTTGGACCGTCTTGGGGGCCTCTTTGGGCCGTCTTGGGGCCCTCTTGGGGGCTCGTTGGGTTGTTTTGGGGCGATTATGGAAGCTGCTTGGGCCGTCATAAACTTTCGAGAGTCGGAACAGGCGAGAACGCTAACATATTGCAGAAAAGCCATAGGACAATCAATGATTTCGGCCTCTGGAGGCGCAGTTGTGGGCGCTCTTGGGGTCCTCCTGGGTCTTCCTTAGGGCTTTTGGGGCCTTCTTGGGGCCGATTTGGGGGCCTCACGGGCCCCCGTTGGGAATATCTTGGGCCGGTTTGGGGCCATCTTGGGCCGTCTTGGGGCCCTCTTGGAGTCCCCAGAGGCCCAAGAGGCCGACTTCGTTGATTTTTCATAGGTTCTTGTAGGTTTGGGGCCCCAGAAGGAGGGCCGATCATTTTGGTCCGTTCCTGTGGCGCGCCTCCCAGGGGGGGTTAGGGGGGATACATAATAATGTAACACAACGCAACATGTGGCAATTTGGATACGTTGCATCAAGGCGTTCGCCGAAAAACGCTGCCGCTCAGCACGTCACCTCCGGACGTGGATTCCTCTCGCTTCGCGGGGTGCACGTCCGGAGCACGTACAGTCACGTCGTCGCGGGGCCTCTTGGGCGCCTCTCGGGGGCCTCCTGGAAGCCTCCTGGGAGTTTCTTTTGGCCTCTTGGGGACTTCTTTGGGGCCTTTCCCCCTCCCTCTTTTCATATACCCTCCCCATCTTCCCTTCCAGCGCCGGCTCTAATCATGGGCGCCGCTGTGACCAATTTTCACCGGGCTGGCGCTGCACCGCAGTTCGCCCAGAGGGGGGAAAATATCATTACACTCCAGTCGTTGTGTGGCCCTTGGGGGGTTTTTTGGGGGCCTTTTGGAAGCTTCTTGGGGACTTTTTGGAGGCTTCTTGGGGGCCCCTTGGGGCCTCTTGGGGGCGTCTTGGGCCGTCTTGGGGCGCTTTTGCGCCGTTTCGCCCCCTCGGAGGCTGTCTTAGGGGCCTCTCGCGGCCGCATTGGAGCCCTCTTGGGGCCCTCTTGGGCCGTAGTGCGCGCTCGGGCGGCGGGCGTCTCTCTTCGCCTTCGACTTCTGGAATGCCACATGCTCCATATCGCTCTTCACGCTTTTTTCGGCTTCTCCCAAACGTCGCCTTGAGTCGGCGAATTCGCGGCGTGCTGTGCCCGCGCTGTCCGCGGCATCCATGCGCTCCCGCTGCCGGGCCGATGTCTGTAACTAGAGGAAACGCGCGTAAGCCCCCGGCGACCGCCCCCACGACAAAAAACACGAGATGACGAGACGTGCAGGTTGGGCGTTGGCTGGTTTGCCCTGCTCGTCGGAGCAGTCGCTGTGAGTGAGGTCGTTGTTGGGCGTATTGGAAGCTTATCGGAGCCCTCGAGGAGGCTTCTTGGTGGCCTTTTCGGGGCTTCTGAGGGACCGTCAAGTGGCCTCTCAGTCCAATCATTGTGGTTTTTTTGGGGGAGCTTCTTGGGGGCCTCCTGGGGGCCTCTTGGGCGCTACTCGGGTTTTTTTTTACGGGGCCTCTTGGGGCCTCTTGGGGGCGTCTTGAGCCGTCTTGAGGCGCTTTTGCGCTATTTCGCTCCTTCGGAGGCCGTCTTGGGGGGCTTTCGCGGACGCCTTGGGACAATCTTGGGGTCTTCTTGGGCTGTCTTGGGGGCCTCTTCGACAGTCTTGGGGGCCTCTTTGGGCCGTCTTGGAGTCCTCTTGGGCTGTGTTGGGGCCCTCTTGGTGACTTTTTGGGTAGTTCTGGGACGATTTGGGAGGTTGCTTGGGTCGCCCTGGGCCCGTGAGAATCGAAATAAGCGAGAACACAAAAATCTTCAAAACCTTTTTGGGGGAAATCAATGATTTTGGCCGCTGGAGGCACTCCTGGGGGTCCTCTCGGGGCCGTCTTGGGGCGTCTTGGAAGTGTTTTTTGTTTGGCCCTCTTGGGGCCATCTTGGGTCGTCCTGGTGCCGTCTTGGGCCGTCTTGGGGGCATCTGGAGCCCTCCTGAGGCCTTGTTGGACCCCCAAGAGGGCCAACAGGCCCAAATCATGGATTTCCCATACGTTTTGGTACGTTTTGGGGGCCCAAACGGGGGGGCGCCACTTTGGCACGGCGCTGTGGCGCGACTCCAGAGGGGGGGGGGTCGGGGGGGAGACATAATATTGCAAAACAATACAACATGTAGCAATTACGCAATGATTAGAGACATTGGATGCGTTGCATTACCGCATCCGCGGACCTGCCTCCGGCAACACGTCACTTCCGGACGTGGATTCCTGTCGCTTCGCGGGGTGCACGTCCGGAGCACGTACAGTCACGTCGTCGCGGAGCCTCTTGGGATCCTTTTGGGGGCCTCCTGGAGACCTCCTGGGAGCTTCCTTGGGCCTCTTCGGGGCTTCTTTGGGACCTCTGGCGAGCGCAGCGCGCCCATGAAGATCTGGCGTGGCCAGACGACCTGGGCGTGAGGCCTGGCAGGCCTTCAGCTGAGGAGATGAAGGCGGTGCTGCGTGCGTTCAGGACGGGCACCGCGGCGGGTTTCGAGGCGGTCAAGCCGCGGCAGCTCCTGGAGCTCAGCGACGAGGGCCTCGAGACGCTCATCGACGTCGCGATGGCGGTCGAGCTGGCGGCGGAGTGGCCGCTGCTGCACAACCAGATCGCGTTCCTGGCCAAGAGGTCAGGAGGAGCAAGGCCGGTGGCCATCGCCCACGTGCTCGCGAGGATTCAGACGAGGCTGCGCAGGCCAGCGGCGGTCGAGTGGGAGCGCAAAAACGATCGGCCTTTCTTCTGGGCATCCAGGTGGAAAGGTTGCGCGAGGGCGGTCTGGCAGCAGGCGGTGGGGTGCGAGTGGGCCTCGGCCAGAGGGCGCGACGCGGGCGCCGCCTCCAGTTGGGTCGCCGCGCTAGTGCTCCTAGACCTACTCAAGACGTACGAGCAAGTGCAGCACGGGCACCTCATTCGCGCTGCGAGGAGGACGGGGTTTCCCTTGTGGCAGCTCAAGCTGCAGATCAGCCTGTATAGGTCGGCCAGGTGGCTGGCGCGCGACGAGGCTGTCAGCGACGCCATCTACGCGGAGCAGGCCGTGTTGCCAGGGGATGGGCTGGCAACGCTCATGCTCAAGATGTTGTTGCTGGAGCCGCTGAATAGGCTGCAGGCGCTGGTACCCACGGTGGCCCTCTCGGCGGTCGTGGATGACATCATCATCAGGAG